TTTCTGGCCCCCCTCCCCTCCCTGGGGCTCCTGTAGTTGGAGCTGATTTCTACCCCTGCCCTTTTCTTAACGCTGGCATTGTAGACAGAAATCTGCTGTTTTCTCCTTTTCCCATGCTGGCTCCCTGCTTCTCCCATAGACACCATTCACTTCCACATTTACCGATCACCTATCAGGTGTTGTACTAGACACCTATGCTGTGTGCTGTTGGGTTCCAAAACAGCCTAAGTCAAAGTTCTCACCCTCAAGGACCCCACCTTCAGAGACTTTGACAAAGAACCACACATACACACACACAAAGACAATAGAGCTATAAGAACGCAGAACACATTGCTTGAGTACTCTCTATGTGCCAGGTGTGTGCTAAATACTTTACACATATTCAACCCAAGAGCAGACGCTATTTTGAAAAACGGAGGCTCTCAGGGATTAAATAGTATAACAGACACAGAATGGGGTGTCTGGTGAGCTCAGAACAATTTCTCCAGGGGCCATGCCTATGTCCAGTCCCTCTCCTCCTTTGAAAAAAACTATCTCCTTCTCCAGCATATAGTGATTGGTCCAAAGTGTGGTCATGTGACCCAAACTTAGACCAATCAGAGCCCAGCCCCAGGAACTTTTGCCTGGGAACTTGAGGGGAAACTTCTTTTGTCTCTGGCCAGGGAGCTATGGCAATAAGAGTCAGCTTCACTGAAAAGATGCTCAATGTCACTAATTATTAGAGAAATGTAAATCAAAACTACCATGAGGCACCACCTTACACTGGTCAGAATGGCCACGATTAAAAAGTCTACAGGGCTTTCCTGGTGGCACAGTGGTTAGGAATCTACCTGCCAATGCAGGGGACACGGGTTCAATCTCTGGCCCGGGAAGATCCCACATGCTGCAGAGCAGCTAGGCCTGTGCGCCACAACTACTGAGCCTGCGCTCTAAAGCCCGTGAGCCACAACTATTGAAGCCTGTGCACCTAGAGCCCATGCTCCGCAACAGGAGGAGCCACCGAAATGAGAAGCCCGTGCACCGCAACGAAGAGTAGCCCCCGCTCGCCACAACTAGAGAAAGCCTGAGTGCAGCAACGAAGACCCAACGCAGCCAAAAATAAATAAAATAAAATAAATAAAAATTTTTTAAAAGTCTACAAAACTATAAATGCTGGAGAGGGTGTGGAGAAAAGGGAACCCTCCTACACTGTTTGTGAGAATGTAAGTTGGTGCAGCCACTGTGGAAAACTGTATGGAGGTTCCTCAGAAAACTAAAAATAGTGCTACCATATGATCTGGCAATCCCTCTCCTGAGCATATATCCAGACAAAACTCTAATTCAAAAAGATACAGGTACCCCTATGTTTATACCAGCACTATTCACAACAGCCAAGACATGGAAACAACCTAAATGTCCATGGATCAATGAATGGATAAAGAAGATGTGGTACATATATACAATGGAATACTACTCAGCCATAAAAAAGAATGAAATCATGCCATTTGCAGCAACATGGATACAATTAGAGATGATCATATTAAGTGAAGTAAGTCAGAAAGAGAAAGACAAATACCATATGATATCACCTCTATGTGGAATGTAAAATTTGGCACAAATGAACCTATCTATCAAACAGAAACAGAATCACGGACATAGAGAACAGACTGGTGGTTGCCAAGGGGCAGGGGGCTGGGGGAGGGATAAAGTGGGAGGTTGGGGTGAGCAGATGTAAGCTTTTATATATAGAATGGATAAACAACAAGGTCCTACTGTCTAGCACAGAGAACTATATTCAATATCCTATGATAAATCACAATGGAAAAGAATATTTAAAAAAAGAATGTACATATATGTATAACTGAATCACTTTGCTGTACAGCAGAAATTAACACAACATTGTAAATCAACTATACTTTAATAAAAAAACTTAAAAAAAAAAAAGAAGAGCTTCATGATGCTAATAGCCAGAATCTGTCTTGTAGAGATGTTGGTCAAAGAGAATTAGGATGTCACACAGAGAGAAGGGAACCTAAAAACAGAGTCCATGTAAGCCTCTACTACCGATTACACTTACAACCAGCTCCATCCTGTCCCTTCCACAACCTGGCCCATCTCTTTTAGCCCTGTTTTTCTTAACCTAGTTTGAATTCATTTTCCATCACTTACAAGCTACACATTCCGAAGAATACAGGTCCCTTGCCTAAGGTCACACAGCTTACAAGGGTCTGGTTGCATGCCCTCCTAAGAGCCACCTTGCCTCCCGTGTGGCTGGATTATGGACCCCAGACAGCACAGGCAGCATCACACTATTTTATTTTCCTACAGACGTTGCCAGGGGGATTGGCATGACCATGGAGTTGACACTTCTGCTCATCAGCTGTTTAGTTCCCAGAAATGTGTTACCACGTCCCTCATGAAAGCCATATTATTATCACCAACTACTTACTGGGAGCTTATGCCATGCGACGTACCATGCTATGTGCTATGCGCCTCATTTAATCTCCCCAAACCCTTGCATAGTAAGTATTGGTAGTGCTGGGGGGTTTTTGTTTTATTTGGTTTTTTTGGTTTTTTGCTTTTGTTTTTAACGTGGACCATTTTTAAAGTCTTTATTGAGTTTGTTACAATATTGCTTCTGTTTTACGTTTTGGTTTTTTGGCCACGAGTCATGTGGGATCTTAGCTCCCCGACCAGGGATCGAACCCACACCACCTGCGCTGGAAAGTGAAGTCCCAACCACTGGACCACCAGGGAAGTCCCCAGGTAATGCTGTTTTAAAAGTGGGGAGGGACTTCCCTGGTGGTCCAGTGGTAAAGAATCCACCTTCCAATGCAGGGGACGCAGGTTCAACCCCTGGTCGGGGAACTAAGATCCCACATGCCGCGGGGCAACTAAGCCCATGCGCATCAACTAGAGAGCCCACGTGCCGCAACTACAGAGCCCATGCGCTCTAGAGCCCACGTGCCACAACTAGACAGAAGTCCGCGCGCCACAATGAAAGAACCCACATGCCGCAAGTAAGACCTGAAGCACCCAAAAAAGGGACACTCGAGAGGGTTGGTGTTTTGGGGTTTTGACTTGCTCCCAAGGTCAAAAGACAGGAAGGGGCAGAGCCAGACTGGTTGATTTCAAAGCCCACGCTCTTGGCCAATCCACTAATGTTCCTCCCCACGCAGTACTGTGATCATTGTGATTGGCTGCACGTCCGTCTGTCACAGCCTCCAAGAACCTCGCATGTTAGACTGAGTGTAAGTTGATCCTATCGCAGCCCTGGCCCGCCTGCAGTCACCTTTTGCTCTGCGCGAGAATGCAGCCAGCCAACTTTCTTACAGGCCTCAGGTCAGAGGACCCTAACCTTCAGGCCAGTGGAGGCCCATGCAGGGGCTGGAAACTTTGGCTTTCTAAAGAGGCCCCACCTGGTACAAATGAACTTATTTACAAAACAGAAATTGAGTCACATGTAGAAAACAAACTTATGGTTACCAGGGGGGAAGGGGGAGAGAGGGATAAATTGGGAGAATGGGATTGACACATACACCCTACTATATACAAAATAGATAACTAATAAGGACCAGTAGGTCCTTATTAGCACAGGGAACTCTACTCAATACTCTGTGATGGCCTATGTGGGAAAAGAATCTAAAAAAGACTGGATATTTGTACACGTATAACTGATTCACTTTGCTGTACACCTGAAACTAACACAGCACTGTAAATCACCTATACTCCAATAAAAATTTTTTTAAATAAAATAAAAAATAAAGAGGTCCCACCATGTATATATATCTTCCTTCTCAGCTCTTATGTTCCGGATGAATGTTTATGATGAGCCGTCAAGCTGGGTCTCCTGCAGACTCCAAGCTGAAGGCCCCGCCCTGTCGTCTCCTGTTGATGGGGTGCTTGCCTCCTCCTGCCTGAACTCCACAGCACCCTAGTATTCTGAGCTGGGGCCTGACCCCCACGTCACCCCTCCACCTGGCTTCATAAAGGAGGGCCTAAGGTCCTGCCCCGTCTCTCCAGCATCCGGCCGAGGCCTGAGCAGTTTCCACCATAGGTCCCACTGTGCCTAGACCGGTCGCCATCCTCCCAGAGCCACAGCCGCAGGCGCCTCTGACAAAGGCCTCTTGCCGGAAGAGAAACAGTGCAAGCCCACCCTTGACGCTTTCACCCTCCTTTCCCCTGGCCTCCCTCGTCTCTGCCCCTTTAGGTCAGAGGTGCCCAACTGTAGCCCACAGGCCAAATGTGGTGCGTAAATAGGTTTTATTCCGCATTCACAGTGGGTTTCTTTGTTTTAGCATTTTAAAAAATTGGGTGTTCCACTTGGATATCTCAATTTAAATTTTCCACATAAAAAGTTTTTTAAAAAAAACAAAACTGTCTGCATTTCTAACTTTTCTTTAAAAAACTGGCCTTTCTGTGACAAGAGCCCTGCATCTCAGCATGAGAGCCTCCAGTGGCAGCTGAGCAGTGACCACCTGCTTTGGACAGTGCATGGCCTCTCTGCTTCACAGTCTCAAAATCTGCCCATGACCCTCATTTTCCCTGCCCGTCTGATCTCTGCGAACACCCAAGGCCCACCCTGGCGGCCTGGGATACCCCCTAGCAGACGGACAGCTCACTAGCCAGTCTCCCCAGCCTGGGATTGGGCATTTTCTCCAGATGATGAATCTCAGGCAAGTCCCTTCAACTCTAAGGCAAGTGAGGCCCCCGGCCGTGCCTGACCCAGGCTCTGAATGTGTCCAAGCCCAGAAGCCACTGGCCATGGGCTCTGGTTTGCCTGTAGGCACCTCAGCACAGGCATGCACAGCTGAGACCAGGCTGAGGCCTGGGATGGACGTCATGCCTGCTCAGGCCCATCTCACCACGGAAATCGCTGTCCAGCTGGACTAGGGAGCAGGCAGTGACTTCCCCGAGTCTACCCAGAAAACACCAGGCCCAGGAGAAACTGTTCATCAGACCAGCGCCGGGGGCCCCCACCCCAGCCCCTGCCCCTAGCCCCGGGACTCGGGGACACTCACGATGTTCATGAGGGTGAGGACGTAGTTCTGCACGTGCTCCTTCCCATGGAAGCGCACCACCGAGTCGTCCACCGCCAGCAGCACCTCCATGCTGTAACTGCCCGGCTTGGCATGTCGCCGCTTCCGCTCTGCTTCTCCCAGCCGGTCCCCCACCAGGCCCAGCAGGTTGGGAAGGTCACCCAGGCCAAAAGCTGGAACCGGGACGGGAAGAAACCGAGGTCAAACCCACATAAGGGACTGTCACCATGACGCCGCCCCTGTCAAGCGTGCCCCTTTCCCTGCCTCTGAAAGCCAAGGCAGCATGAGGGTCTGTGCCATACCAGGTAACTGGTGGGCATGAGCCCTTTCCCTGGCACGAGGACACGGCGAGTCTCTGAGGCAATGAAGAGCAGAGAGGCGAGAACTGGCCCGGGTTCCAGTCCCTACTCGGTCCCATCTCCCCGTGCATCCTAGCCCAAGCGCCGCTGCTGCTCCAGGCTTCCCTCCCCCGCTGTGACATGGGGAGGGATAATCCTTGATCTCTTGCCCCACAAGCTTGCTGTAAAAATCAAAGGTGGCGCTGGGTGTAAACATCTTAATAAAGGAAAAAAATTGTGATGTTACCGTGGCCTATGCGGGGCATTTTAGGGACCCCTGGAGTATGCCCTGTGCCCCTCAAATCCCTCCCAATCACCGCCAGCAACTCCAAATTTCACCATCACAGCTTTGGCCTTTTGGATGAAAGCAAAATATTTACTTCTTTAACCAGCATTTATTAACTTGTATGATATGATTTAAACTTGTATGATTAACTTGTATGACAAGGGCTATAATAGGACTGACTAGGGCAGGCTTCCACACCGAGACCCACACCAGGACTGGGGAGCTGGGGAAGGCTTCTGGAGAAGGGCGTATCGGAACTGGCTGGCGGAGAGCAGGAGACAACCCGCTGGAGTGCGGGGAACACAGGGCCCCGAGCAGGGGGAGCTGCGCCTGCAGCATCTATTGTGAGTATAAGGAGACCCCGCCCACTGACCCTCAGGAATGAATCAACGGACACCCGAGTTCTGCCTCTAAGCCTCCATGCACATGGGTACTTCAGGGACTGAAATCAGATCACAGGGCAACAGGGAACCACAGGGCTCCATGTCACTGTTTCTGTTTTCCCTTTGGTTAGTAGTGCTATCGTGCAAAGGAAGGAAAGCACTAGATTTAAGAGTTGGGAAAATGGGGACTTCCCTGGTGGTCCAGTGGGTAAGACTCTGCGCTCCCAGTACAGGGGGCCCGGGTTCAATCCCTGGTTGGGGAACTAGATCCTACATGCATGCCACAACTAAGAGTCTGCATGCCACAACTAAGAGTCCGCATGCCGGGATTCCCTGGTGGCGCAGTGGTTAAGAATCCGCCTGCCAATGCAGGGGGCATGGGTTTGAGCCCTGGCCCGGGAAGATCCCACATGCCACAGAGAAACTAAGCCCGTGTGTCACAACTACTGAAGCCCACATGCCTAGAGCCCGTACTCCGCAACAAGAGAAGCCACCGCAATGAGAAGCCCGCGCACTGCAACGAAGAGTAGCCCCTGCTCGCTGCAACTAGAGAAAGCCCGCGTGCAGCAACAAAGACCCAAACGCAGCCAAAAATAAATAAATAAATAAATTTATGGGAAAAAAAAAAGAGTTGGGAAAATGTATGGCCACTGGCCTAGTGGAGAAACCAGAAATGGGCAGCCGGCCCTCTGAACAATGCAATGCACAGCCTGGTGAGCAGGGCTCAGGCTGGTGTCCACCCTCCCTGCCCCTGAAGCCAACGCCTCTCTCTCTGCAGGTGACACTGCACCAGAGCTCCTGGTGGCCCTGCTGTCTGAGTCCAACAGTGAGTGCAGCAGCCCAGAGACAAATTCCTGGGAGGGGAGAAGACCCCCAGGAGGGGAGAAGGAGGGGCAAGGGCTCTATCCACGGAGTGAGTACAATCATAACAGCCACTTCCAACACATGAGCAGTGCCCGGAGGTTGCAGCAGTGCAAGTGAAACAGGGAACTTGACCCCTCACAGCTCTCCCTGCCAGGCCTGTCAAAGGGAGGCTCAGAGAGGTTGCCTGACTCATCTCAGGTCGTACAGCAAGTTCACGGCAAAAGGCCAGAATGTAAACCCAGACCTGCCACTCCCCATTATCACACCCTAACCAGCACCCAGGTTTCTCTCTCAACAAAAACAGTAACGGGCATTGGGGAGGGCCTGCTGACATCAGCTATAGACCTTGGAGATGTTCCAGTCACACCCTCTTTCATGGGCCAGATATAGGGAATCCTCAAAGCGAGGAGAGGTGAGGGCAGCAGGTCACTGGGAACGTTCACTGAGCCCACCCAAGAAGCCCCATGAGAATGGAAAGTGCTGCAGCTGCTTTGAAAACCAGTTTGGCAGCTCCCCCGAAAGTTAAACACAGTGTAGCCATAGGACCTAGCAATCCACTCTTAGGTATATATGCAAAAGAACTGAAAACATATGTTCACACAAAACCTTGTACAAGAATGTTCATAGCAGCATTATCATAATAGCGAAAAAATGGAAACAACCCAAATGTCCACCAACAGAAGAACAGGTAAACAAAATGTGGTCTCTCCACAGGATGGACTATTACCCTGCCATAAAAAGGAGTAAAGTACTGATACATGCTCCAGCACGGATGAACCCTACTTGCTAAGTGAAAGAAGGCCAGTCACAAAGGCCACAGACTGTATGATTCCACATACAGGGGATGTCCAGAAGAGACAAATCTCTAGAGAGAGAAGATCGATTGGTGGTTGCCAGGGGGTTGAGGAGAGGAGAACGGGAGTGACAGCTAATTCATGGGTATCAAGTTTTTTATGGGAGTGATGGAAGTGTTCTAGAATTAGATAATGGTGATGGTCCCACAAAATTGTGAAGAGATATATACAGACTGCCAACAAACACATGGAAGAATGCTCAACATCATTAATCATTAGAGAAATGCAAATCAAAACTACAATGAGATATCATCTCACACCAGTCAGAATGGCCATCATCAAAAAAATCTAGAAACAATAAATGTTGGAGAGGGTGTGGAGAAAAGGGAACACTCTTGCACTGCTGTTGGGAATGTGAATTGGTTCAGCCACTATGGAGAACAGTATGGAGGTTCCTTAAAAAACTACAAATAGAACTACCATATGACCCAGCAATCCCACTACTGGGCATATACCCTGAGAAAACCAAAATTCAAAAAGAGTCATGTACCAAAATGTTCATTGCAGCTCTATTTACAATAGCCCGGAGATGGAAACAACCTAAGTGCCCATCATCGGATGAATGGATAAAGAAGATGTGGCACATATATACAATGGAATATTACTCAGCCATAAAAAGAAACGAAATTGAGCTATTTGTAATGAGGTGGATAGACCTAGAGTCTGTCATACAGAGTGAAGTAAGTCAGAAAGAAAAAGACAAATACCGTATGCTAACACATATATATGGAATTTAAGAAAAAAAAATGTCATGAAGAACCTAGGGGTAAGACAGGAATAAAGACGCAGACCTACTGGAGAACGGACTTGAGGATATGGGGAGGAGGAAGGGTGAGCTGTGACAGGGCGAGAGAGAGTCATGGACATATACACACTAACAAACTTAGTAAGGTAGATAGCTAGTGGGAAGCAGCCGCGTGGCACAGGGATATTGGCTCGGTGCTTTGTGACAGCCTGTAGGGGTTGGATAGGGAGGGTGGGAGGGAGGGAGATGCAAGAGGGAAGACATATGGGAACATATGTATATGTATAACTGATTCACTTTGTTATAAAGCAGAAACTAACACACCATTGTAAAGCAGTTATACCCCAATAAAGATGTTAAAAAAAACAAAACAAAACAACAACAAAAACCCAAACTGAATTGTATATGTTAAAATGGATTTTCTCTCGATTAAAAAAAGCAGCAGCAGCCTTAAGCCCCAGCCTGGCCAGGGGACGAGCTGCCCTGGCGTCTGGCAGCCCCGGCCCCCAGCCGAGGAGCCAGAACTCTGGCAACAGGCACGTATGTCCTGTTGGCATCCAGGTCCCAGGGACCTGGACAGTGGGAAGGCGGCTACAAAGCAGGACTGAGGAAAGGACAGCATTAGGAGCATAGGAACGTCCAGGGCACAGCCTCCAAGGTCAAACCTCTCATCTTAACTGAGATGTTAAATGGAGACAGCCGCACCCAGAAACACTTCACAAACTGGGCTCAGATGCAAAGCTGGCCTTAAATTAACAGTGAGTGAGTCACAGGTTTTCAAGGAAGTCCCCTATCACCCTTGTCTTTCTGAGGAAGGACCCACATGGGCCAAGGGCACGACACCACCCACAGGCCCACAGGAGGTTCAGCCGGGCAGCCTGATGAAAGGGAGTCAAAGCAGCATTCGGGGCCTGAACCCCACCCTGAGCTCAGCGGTCTCGGCCTCCCAGCCAGTGACCGAGGTGGTGGACTGTGTGGTCGGTTCCAGGCTCACAGCCCTGGAGTAGGACTTCCCCAAGGTCTCTCCCCATAAGGGAGGATTTACGGTCTTTTGATTCAGAACTGGCCTCAGATAAAATTGGAGCCCGAGGGAGACTTGTCATTCCTCCCAGCCATGGTGGTGGGAACGGTCACCACCTGCTCCCGAGACCCTCCCCAGCCCCCCGGAGGCTCCGCCCAGTCCCTCAGCTCCCCCCCACCCCGCCGCTGCCAGGCCTCCACCATCGCAACGTAAGTGCAGCATCACTGTGAGCAACAGGGGGACAGCAGCTGGGGCTTCAGCGGAGGCATTATATGTGGGGACAACTGGTTTCCAGGCATTCCTTCACACTGGGCCCAACCCTGCCAGGGCCCAGGCAGGAGGGTGTGGTCACTCATGGCCAGATTCCACCCAGGGTCTCATGTCTTAGTGGCCAAAGGGGCTTCGAGACAAAGCTCAGTCCGACTATGAAGTCGGCACGGCCCCAGGACCAGCACAGGTTGCATCCACTCCTTCATTCACTTAACCACGTGTCCTGAGTAGGCGTGCAGGCCGGGGTGCAGGCTCTGGTGCTGGTCACTGGGGTGCAGAGACGCCCCTCGCAGGGCTCTCACCCTAACATGGCAGCAGTTACCTCAATAACAAGACCGTGATAAGAGCAACCATTCATCAAACACCTACTAGGTGCTAAGCTCCATGCGGGGATTTCTGTACACACTATAATACACACAGCCTTAGAGGTAACAACGATCGCCCCCACTTTACAGATTAGAAAAAGAGGCTCAGAGATGTTAAGTAACTTGTTGGGGTCACACAGTAGACAGTGGTGGAGGTAGGATTTTTAAATGGTCTGTTGGACACAGAGCTGACCCTGGTGGTCTGACCCCAGGCAGTCTCCCTACAAGTGCCCTAAGAACCTCCTTCCCGTGGTTCCCAGGGGCTGAGATGATTTTCGGGGGGGAAGAGCTAACTGCAGCCATTCCACCTTCTGCCTTGGCAGAGAAACAGCCTTGCAACGCAGCACTGAGCCCCTCAGAGACACTGGAGTCCCAAGGACTACAGTTCAGGGGACTCAAGTACCCTTCTGGGCCCCAACTCCAGCCTGTTATGGTAGCCCCTAAAACCCAGTGGCATTTCTCTGCTAGTGCAGTAGGTCTACATGGCCCAGTCCCATTACACAGCTGAGAAGACTGAGGCCAGGAGTTGAGAAGTTCAGGCCAGAAGTTACCTAAAAACACCCCTGAGGTGTGGACGGAGGTAGAGCTGGGGGCCCCGCCCACAGCCTACCTTCATTGTGAAGGTCCCCGAGAGGCTCTGTCCACGCCTGCTGGATGACTTCCCGGCGGTACACCACGTGCATCCTCCCGCTGGCCTCCGTCTCCTGCTGCCCCCGCTCCAGGGGCTCAATGAAGTAGTCAGTGCTGTCTGTGCGGATGAGGCCTGCCTGAACCAGGGGCACAGCGAGCAGAAGGAAAGAGGGGGAGAGAGAAGAGATGTGAACACACGACAGAACGGGTGAGCGTGTGCGACTGCAAACGAGTGCGACTAAACGAGTACAGACTCTTCCTCTAGGGGCTTGGGGGGCCCTGGGATGCCAGCAGGGACATGGGAGGGGGTGTCAGGGGGCCAAGCAAGGGCTCCCATGCCCATTGCAAGCAGAGCAGATCCACTTCCACTGTGTTGTACACTCACGGGGTTCCACGTAACATTTCATTTAAACAAAGAGCTCCAGTGCTTAAAATGGCAGGTCACTGTCACAGGGACTAGGTACACACACCAAAGCACCCCAAAGTGCTATCACTATCCTGCAGATTTGCCTGTATCTACAGACAGACAAGAAGGGAAAGTCCTATCAGTAAAGGTTAATTATCCCTACCTAAGGTGGGCACTGGACCCCAACTCCAGGACAAAGCGCTGTTATTTCAGATTTAAAGCATGTGCGCATACACACCAGGGAGGGCAGCTCGTGTCTGCTGACGATAAATGAGCCAGGACAGTGCCCCAGGAGTGTGCGCTCTGTTTTTACTCTAATTTTTCGCCTGCATCAAAACAGACCCTTAAAAAAAAAAAAAACCAAGTGTTGGCCTTGGAAATGAAAACATAAAAATATAACCTTGGCCAAGCCCAGCCAACATGTTATTAGGTCCCAATGAAGGCAATATTCACAGGGGCCAATGAAACATATAACTGGATGTGTGTGAATAGACGTGGTACAGGTCCCCTACCTACCACCCACACATCAGCTCTATAAAGCAGTAAGAGACACCCATCATGGTGCCTGGAAAACAGGAGGCAATCCTTTCAAAATATATACTTGTTGAATTCCTTCACTCATTCGACAAATACCTACGGAGTGCCTACGACATACCAGCCCTGCGCCAGACACTGGGAACGCAGCTGTGAACACAAAGCAGGGAAGGAAGGAGCCATTTTTATAAACCTTCCCCTTTGCATAGGAGCTGCCTCTTTGTAAAGCAGCCGCTACTGTGCGCAACAAAATTCCACCAACTGTCCCACCTCAGCCTGTTCTGAGCTGGCTTCTTAGGGAACCCCCTTCAAGGCTTCCTGAGCACACAACAGCGAACTCCCAGCAGCAGCCCATCTTCTTCCTGTCCCTTCCTGCTATGTCTCTCCATCAAACTGCAAACACCATGTTGGATCAAATCCAGGATGGACTTCTGCTCCAATCAGGAGGCCAAAAAACGTTCTAGGGAAAATAGCCAGCCTTACCCGAATAAGTTTGGGGCTTCCCAAGGTAACCATTTGATCAGGTGACACTCAATTGTCTGCAAAAGTTCTGGTCTGCTTACTAAAATGACAACGTCAAACTCTATATTAAGCACACGTCCTTTCATTTAAAGCACTTTCCCTTTTTTTTACTTTTGCACCTGCCATGTGCCCAGGGCAGGGAGAAACAGATAAATAAGGCCCAGCCTTTGGCTGTGAGTCGCTCATTGTCTGGTTGGAGGGGCCCACAGAGGAGCAGAGGGTATCCAACTTGTTGGGCTTGGCGCACTGGCGGATATACCTGAAGGACAGGTATCCATCAGGCTCTCGGTTGTAAGGGGCAGAAATTCAACTTGAACCCCCGTGGACCAAAGGGGAGCGTGTTGGCCCCTGGACAAACCATGGCAGGTGCAGGCACTGGAAGTGAGGGGCCCAGTGCCCACGGCTCCCTCTCCACCCTCCTCATGGGCTGCTCTGCATCAGCTTCATTCTCCCGGACAAGGCCATGTTCTTAGAGGCACAGCTCTGCTCTGACACCACAGACAAGCAGGCTTTCCTTGCATAGTCTCATCTGGAACAGCCCAAGGGAGACTGTGGTTGGTCCGGCCTGAGTCACATGGTCACCCTGGGACTGGCAGTCTCCGCTCAACCTCCACGGCCAGCGGCAGGGTAATCAGTGCATGGGAAGAAGGGAGAAACTGACAGGGTAGCAAAAGAAACCTACGTGAGCTGGAAAGGGCACAGCAGGTAGGGGACCCAGGCACAGGTGTGGAAGCAGGAAGGGCAGTGTGGGGCTGGGGAGGCATCCAGGCTTGTGGGCAGAGACTGAGCCAAACCTGAATAAGTGATGGGCCTCTTACCTGCATAAGTGAGAGGCCCAAGTCGAAGGTCCTCTGCCACTGCGGACCCGCAGGGCCTGCCGAAGGAAGCTGTCTTCCAGGGTACATAGGGCTGCAGGATGGGAGGGCCCAGGGCATTCCCCCCAAAGCTACTGCAGCTCGGCTGCCAAGAGAGACTCTCCGCCAAGCCCCACGCCCATCCATCCCATCCCAACTTCTGTACCCCCATCCGATACCCAAGGGCACTGTTGCCACCCCACCAAAGCCCCCCTGGACCAAGCAAAGCAAGAGACCCTCACAGCACAAGTCAGACAACCTGTGCTTCATCCAGGCCAAACTCACACAAACCCAGGCTCACTGAGGGCTATAGTTGCTCTGTTTCTCTCTGCCCATCACAGCTCTGCAAACAGCCCGGCAGAGGAGAATTCTCCAGACCAGGGGGCAGGAGACTCCATCCAGCTACCACCCCCCGCCCCCGACACTGGGTCACTTGATCACAGCCTCCCCCGTTCTGGGACTTGGTTAACCTACTACACAGGAGGATTCTTCAGAATCTGGCATTCCCTGCCACATCACCCACTGGGTCCCTGTGGCCGCCAGACCTCAGTGCCTCACATGAGGGACGCAGGTTCCAGAATGATGCGCACAGCACAGGGCTGGGCTGCAAGGTACTACCTTCCAGCCCACCCCTCCCTTTCAGGATGGCCATGCCTGCCCCAGTCTGAGGCTTCAATACCCTGACAACATCCCCAGTCAGGGGACCTCTGACATTTGCTTGGATGCCTCCAGTGACAGGGAGCTCCCCCTCTCAAGATATAACCTATTCTGGGTGGGGACACTCGTAATGGCTTACTGAGTTGAAACACACTTCTCTACATTCTGCCCTTTATGAACAGTCTTATTGCCACTGCTATTAATAACAGTACCTGCCACTTATATTTACACATCTTAATTCATCTTTACGACAACCCTATGAGATAGGCACTAATATTAGACTCATCTCGGGCTTCCCTGGTGGCGCAGTGGTTGAGAGTCCGCCTGCCGATGCAGGGGACACGGGTTCGTGCCCCGGTCCGGGAAGATCCCACATGCCGCGGAGCGGTTGGGCCCGTGAGCCACGGCCGCTGGGCCTGCGCGTCCGGAGCCTGTGCTCCGCAACGGGAGAGGCCACAACAGTGAGAGGCCCGCGTACCGCAAAAAAAAAAAAAAAAAAAAATAGACTCATCTCATGGATGAGGAAACAGAGGTTCAGAATGGTTAAGTAACTTGCCCAGAGTCACCCAGCAAGTAAGGGACAGCACTAGAACAACAGCCCAGCTCTGTGTGGCTGTTTGACCTAGGCTCTATTACCTCAGGCCGCTCGGGCCCTGCTCCTGCCCTGGGGGCCCACTTGGAGCATTCTTTCGTGGTCCCGACTGCAAGTCCCTGGGCCTCTGGTCTGGCCTTGCAGAGTAAGCAGGATATTCATTTCCCACCTCTGGACGAAAACATTCGATGGAAGCCAGTCCACCTGCCACCACTGACGTGAGGATGAGGAGAAACTTCAGCACACAGCCTTAGGGGGAGCAGACCCCTCCCGCCGCCTGGTGACCACCCTCCACGCACACACCAGCTCTCCCCTACCAGCCATGGAAGCCCTGGGATTCCTGGGACTGGACTAGCCCCCACACCCTCAGCCCTCTCCCCAGGGAAGAGTTAAAGGAACCCCTATTTTTCCACCCAGTGAACTGTTTAGGGCAAAGACCCAAGCCCTGTCATATGCTAGGAAATAAGTTTCAAACCTCTTTGTAACTGCAGATCCCACCAGCCCCACCTCCACCCCACCCCCTCACTGACATCCAGATCAGAACCTCCCTAGTGATCACCCTCATCTATTTAGGGCATCGTGTCCAGGCCTTGGCAGTTCTGGGCCACGTCTGGGCTCCCTCTTGGCCTCCGAGACCCTCCTCCTGGAGAAGGGATGGCAAGGCAGGCCCGGCCACCAGATCAGGAGGCGGCCTGGGCCAGTTCCTCCCCGCGGCCCTCCGTTTCCCCGTCTGCACCAGGAGAGGTTTGGCCCGCGCTCCCCTCCAGCGCCGCCCTGGCCAGGAAACCAGGCACCGCTCAGGGCAGACAGCCTGGCAATGGGAACCTTCTGGCTCTCTGCCTCCTCACCAAATTACTCCCGTCTCTCAATTTATGAGATGTTTATATTTCCGACAAGTGGTGGCTAATTTTAAGCACTAAAATCAAAGCAAATTTCTGTATAAGAAATCAAGAAAGGGGGAGAAACTAAGTTCTGGTGGAATGGAAAATAAATGTCAGCTGTATCTGTTTTCACCCATAAGTTATTCTTCTGGAAACAGTAGAGAAGTAGGAAATATATTCCAGAAAGATCCTTCGTGCAATAAAAATGACAACAAATAGCTGTTTATATCCAATTGAGCCACATACTATATAGGCCTTCGGGCAATTTCTCCAAATGGAAACCCACCAGAGGGCAAGCCTGGCCCGCTCAGCCCTGCTCTAGACCCGTTAATACGGCTGCTCCTGAGGACTCTTTCCTGGAAGCTGTGTGGCTGAGGGAGGGGCCTGTTTGAATTTTCCAACACGGCTGTGACACCGTTCTGGTTGCAAAGGTGACAGCTTCTTCTGCGTCTTCATCCAGAGGCCCTCAGGCCATGCTAGCTAAGGTCTTCCAGTCCAGCTTCCCCACAGGAAAAAAACCCCAAACCCAGAGTGTAATTCCAGAGCACCTGAAGGAGACGGGTGACGACAGCGTAGGTGACTTGCTGCCTTAGAAATCACCTGTGTCCTGCCATGGGTCATAACTGAAGAGCTCAGTTGGTTACCAGCAGCTGTCTAGCATCAGGGTGAGGTCCCAAATATTTCAGCAGAT